AATAAACGCAACAGAACTGTATTTGCATTGTCTTGTGGAGTTCTTTGGGCTGAACCTGACACTTTCAGAGCCGTTGATCATGGTATCTTTCTGGACTGGTTTCAGGAGTTGGGGGTAGGCAGCATTGGGTTGTGCTGGTTCTCCTCCTTCCTCCAGGGTTGGTTCCAGTTGGTGTTGATGAGGGGGAGAGATCTAGCCCATGGCTCCTAATTTGTGGAGTACCCCTGGGCTTGGTTCTCTCTCCTCTCCTATTTAGCATCTACATGAGGCTGCTTGGTGAGGTGATCCGATGGTTTGGGGTGTATTATCAATATGTTGATGATACCCAGCTTTATCTCCACCCTGGACCACCTGAGTGATGCTGTGGGTGTCCTGTCCAGTGCCTGGAGGCTGTAGGGGCCTGGATGGGGCGCACTGGGCTTCAAGTCAACCCAAGCAAGACTGAGTGGCTTTGGGTATTTGGGCCTTCTGGTGACAAGGTTTTTCCATCTTTGGTCCTGGGTGAGGTGGCACTGCCCCAGATGGACCCAGTGTGCATTCTGGGGGTCCTCTTGGACTCATGGTTCCTGCTAGAAGACCAGGTGGCAACCAAGGCTGCGAGGACCTTTGCATGCCTTTGGCTTGTGTGCCGGCTGTGCCCATTCCTGGACCTGGAGGCTTTGCTCAAAGTCACTCATGCCTCCGTGATCTCTCATCTGGATTACTGCAATGTGCTCTACGTGGGGTTGCCCTTGAATAGCATTGAGAAGCTTCAGCTGGTGCAGAATGTGGCTGCATGGGTAGTAAATGGTGTTGGATATTCAACACATGTAACACCACTGCTGTGTGAGCTGCATTAACTGCCGGTGTGTTTCTGGGTACAATTCAAGGTGCTGGTTATTATCTTTAAAGCCGTTCATGATTTGGCATCAGGTTACATAAGGGACTGTCTTCTCCCAGTTGTTTCTGCCTGTCCAATTAGGTCCAGTGGGTTGGGCATGTTACAGGCCCTGTCAGCCAAGGTATGATGGCTGGCAGGGACTAGGAGATGTGCCTTCTCCGCTGTAGCCCCTGCCCTGTGGAACATTATCCCTTCAGAGATTAGGATGACCCTGACCCTGTTGGCCTTTCGTAAAGCCTCAAAGACCTGGTTATGTGCCTCTTGGACCCCAAGTGTGTTAAAGGCCCCATTTCCTGACTATATTGACATCTATGGCAATAATTTTACTCAGCAACCATACATATTTATTTTGTATTGGCTGTAACTGTTTTTAATTGTTTTATGTTTTTACGATTTTTCGTCACCCAGAATCACTTGCTGAGATGGGTAGCTATAGAAATCAAATAAACAAACAAACAAAACAAAACAAAACAAAACTAATTTCCCTTAAGCTGTCAGAGTAGAGAAATACAGATGTTATATCATGGCCCCGTGTATGGGATTTTATATGACTTCCACTGCCCCTTAGGGGGAATTCCTCTATTTTTATGCAGTGTATATCCTGTGTGGTGTTTTCAGTTACATTGACCACCAGGAGGCAGGCACTATATCTGGCAAGTTCCAGACAGAACAAAAGTGGTCACATAGTGCTTGCCTCCTGTGGTTAGTGTAACATAATACAGGGAAAGTGCACTGACCATAAATGGATGAATATAATTCTATACAAGATTAGCACATTAGCACATTTTTTGTAATAACGGTACTTTGCCATTTAAGAATGGCATTCATTGGTACGTACAAATATTTACAGGTAAATGAAATGGAGTAAAGCATGTTAGGGAAAGGAAATCCTCTTTCTAGCCCAATTTTATAGAATGACTCTAGGGAATTTATTGAAGGGGTAGGCAAACTATTTGTGGGTGAGGGCCTACACCTATTTTTAATCATTTTTGGGGCAGCCAGGATTCTCAATGGCCACAAATCTGATATGCCATCACTGGAGGATCAGGGCTAGAATTTTTGGCCTGTTTCCCCTGTTTTTGGGAAAGTAAGAGGTTATGTTTTAATGTTCATATTGTGTTAAGCTTGCTGGAGCTTGCTATCTTCACCAAAAATAAGTAAGAAACTGCAGTATCATAACTGATTTTGTAGGATTCTAGAGGATGCAGGAAAAGGGCTGTAGGGTGATTAGTGTTCTGTAGGCAATGCTCTGCCCATTCTGGGTTTACTGGAACAGCTTTGCAAACTTTGGGATTTTAAAGCTTCAGAAAAGGAGGAGAAAATGAAATAGCCTAGTATGGTCTAGCTATCCAGAGTTAGCCTTTGCCACAAATCCCAAGGATCCTGTTTACATAACCTCCTTGATCCCCTTCTTTTTCTAACACATGCTGTAAACAAGATCCAGAACAAAAGGTCTCATTGGGATATATATCATTAGTTTGTACCCTTGAGTTATTCATTTTAAATTTTTAATATAAAATGTGTATCATTTTGCTTTGATCATTATTAGAATGCTATTTATAACATATTTAAACAATAGCTCTCATGTAGGAATGTTTACACTGCCTGTTGTTCAGCAAGTGTAGTTTATTTAAGTTATATGCTAATTTTTGTACAATGAACCATGCCCATAATAAACATAAACGTCAAGTATCACGGCTGGAAAACAATTTATTATAAAACATAACAAATTCAAAAAGACAAAAAATTCTGTACATGTAATTCAAGTTAATTATTAAACTACTTAGACATAATGTATAAGAAATTCAAAGGAAGAACAAAGTTAAAAATAGCATGAGAAATCAAAATGAAAGAATGTATCCCAACCCTTAGTACTGTCTATTAATTTGCTGTACTTTAAAAAGTCACAGCAAGTTTACTTAATTAGAATTCAGAAATCTTAGGGAAGACTTTTCTCAGCAAAGCCAAACCATTAATATGTCATTTTTATGTAACAAATTGGTTGATAACTGAGTATGTTTTTTGTTTGTTTTCAGTTATAATGGATAAATATCAGGAACAACCTCATCTTTTGGATCCTCATTTAGGTAAATACTGAGATTTTGTAAACTTTTCATAAAAATCTCAATTTTCTATTAGCATGTATGATGCTGATTTTTTTTTTCTACTATGGATAGTAGAATATTCTTTCTGATCCGGTGTTTGGAACTTTTCTGTCTAGAAATACACTTGCCTCTGACAGCAGCTTTTCTAAAAAGAATTGATACAGCTCCATTTTCATATCATTAATAGAAATTAAGACAGAAAGGAATAGGAGAGAGCAGTTTCATTTTACAGTAAATATCCATCTAGAAAACAAGAGCTCGTCCCAGAGGCTTTCTGGGAACCTTTTGTTTCCAAAAGTGAAAAAGGAGTGTGTGTGTATGTGTGTGTAGAAATTGTGATTACTTTGTTGAAAACTTGGTGCAATTCTCTTGTTTCTTTGTAAGGCAAGTCCTTACAGAAAAAGAAGTAGTGCATGTCTCTCTGTTAGCCCTTTCCTTCACCATGTTGAATTTTGACTAAGACAATGGCAAGTGCTTCTTACCAAGCAAGTACCCCATTTGAGTTGTAGGCCAGCTCTACTATTCCTGTTGAAAGTGTATCAGGAGTGTGAGATAGAACATTTCTTTCTATCTTGTGGACACTTACTTGACAAATGAGGAAGCTCATATCAGGTAAGAATTAATCATTCACCTCTCACCTAATCTGAAAAGGAGAAGATAGGATTTGGAAAAACCAAATTCAGATCTAGAAATGACTATCAATTGATTATGTGCTATCAAGTGTTTTCCAACTCCTAGCAACCACATAGATTTTCTCCTTGTCAGCCTACCATTATCCAATATTAAGACTACAGTATTAGGACTGAAATAGGATAGTGAAACATTGTGATACCACATTTATCTTCCTTTGCCTGTTTTCCCTTGTCTTACAAAATCTGATAAGTAAAGTTTGACCATTGTTTTCTCATATCTTTTTTTATTATATTACATTTGCTTTTTCAGAGCATCACTGATGGATTAAAAGATATCGTAATACGTTTTGCTTTAAACAAACGATACTCAAGACTACAGTTAAAATGTGATAGAATCACAAAATCACAAAACTAGAATGGTCCTTAGAACTCATCTAGTCCAATCTCCTGCTTAGTGCAGGACCCTCTAGAGATCTCTGACAGATGATCATTGGCCTTTCTCTGAAGACCTCCAGCAAAGAAAAACTCACCCCTTTGTGTGGTAGCCTCTTCCACTGGCTCACCATTCATGCAGTTAGAAGGTTTCTGCTGGTATCTGTTCTCTTCAGCCCATTGGTTCTGGTTCTCCCCTTTGGGCAATAGGGAATAAGTCCACTCCCTCCCTCTTCTTTGTGACTACCCTTCAGATACTTGAAGACTGTCACTGTATCAGTAACAGCTACACGTGTTTTCCATGAAATTTGTTCTCATATGTATTTGTGAGGCTGTTCAGTGGGAGACAGAAAGCCAAGGAGTGACAAAAAAAAGTGACAAACTAATGCTTCCCTCATTGCCTCACCCATTTGCCTCTGATTTTTCTAGAGTGGATGTTGAATTTGCTGCTAGATATTATCCAAGATGAAGCATCTCCTCCTCCTTTAATCCATCTGGCCTTTCAGTTTCTCTACATTATTTCAAAGGTAAAACTAAATTATAATATATTAGTAATACAGTTTTACTGCTACTCTCAAATCAGATAAAAGAGTGACAGTAAGTCGTAACATAATTAAAGTTATATGAATAGTTTGGAACGCTGAAAGTCTGTATTTCTGCAATGTCTCATGGAGAGGATATATCCATAAAGCACTAGGCTTTATAGGGTTGCTTTTTCACAGTTTGTAATTGAAAAGTTAGTAGTTTATTAGAAAGTTGCAATCTTTCCTATAAAATTCTTCCTAATATTTATGTCCAGTGTTCTTTGCAAGCATGTTACTGATAACAGTTACATAGTTATGGATCATTCCTTAGCCCTTTGCCTCAGGATTACCTCCCCATATTTTATCCCTTTGTATGTGGATTGCAAATATGTAAAATGAGTATGTTGAATGTCTTGGAGAATGACACACCAATAGGATAGTAAAAAGAAAAGTTAGATGATGGGCATTCATGCCCTATTTACCTGCCTATCTATGTAGTCAGTTAGGTTGGCAGGCATGAATGAGGAAGCTTTTTTGCCAATGGCTCCATATTACTCCCCTTCATGGATCACTGCCTTGTCGTGGCGAAGGGGCTTGCATAACTCAGTGAGCTATACCGTGCAGGGCTACTGGACAGGTCATGACAGAGAGTTCTGACAAAATGTGGTCCACTGGAGAAGGAAATGGCAATCCACTCCAGTATCCTTGC